AAAGAAAGAAAGAAAGATAGAAAGAAAGATAGATAGAAAGAAAGAAAGAAAGAAAATACAGCTATTTCAAAAAAGGTTGGTTGCATGTTGCATGTTGCATGTTGCATGTTGCATGTTGCATGTTGCATGTCAAGCTTAAAATGTAAATAATATCACCACAGAAATTATGCTGGAATAAAAGCAGACAAAGTTTAGGAAAATTTCACATTGTTGTGACTTTTCGCTGGTTGTATTCACATCACCCATAGAGCATTTCTGAGCTTGATATGCAACATGCAACATCCAAAGTGCAACAAAACCTTTACAAAACTTTTTTTTTGAGCTGTACATTCGTCTAGCTCTATCTTCTAATTGGGCTTCCTGTGATTTGAGGATTCTATCAATGACAGCTACTGAGACTCTCGCCTACACAATACGTGGTAAAATAAACTTTCTCTCTTGACAAACCTTGTATTTTACAGTCCTTTTGACGACTCTTATATAAATCTCCAGCCATGTGGGCTTAGCTTAGCTTATCGGGGCTAAGCCCTCATTATACACAGGAGTCATAAGGGTCGTCAATACTTGATCGTACGTGTAAGTGACTCTGCTTTGCTTCATTGAAGCTGCGCTGTTTCATGGCAACACATTTGTACCGTAACAAAAATATGTTGATTTGAATAATGTCTACGTCAAAAAAATATTATTATTATTAATTATATTATAATTAGTAATAATATTAATATCATAATAATATTTTTATTTCTTATTTCTTATAGAACAACTCGGCTTCGCTTCATTAGAAGCTGCGTTGTTTCCATGGAACACGCTTGTACCGTAACCAAAACATTTTAATTTGAATAATGTCTACGTCAAAAGACATTCCTAAGATTACTTCAATCTCTTAATATACGGTTCAAAATAAATAAGAAAAATAACTGATTCAAAAAAAAAACACTTCCTCGCATGAGTTTATTATCTTTAAACCAAATTCCAGTAAAAGTCACTTGACCGGAAGTAGCTATTAGACCAAAAAAAGATAAATAAATATGAATACGAAATATGAAATATGAAATACGAAATATGAAATATGAAATATGAAAAGATAAATAACTGATCTTAATTCTAATCTTACCTTCGAATTATTTCCTTGGTTTCAGACAATCTTAGTAATCTATCAGCCGCTTCTTTTCCGATATAAAGCGAGGCATACACAACGGGATCAATGCCTCGGTCACTGACATAATTCAGACCTACTTCATCGTTTTCTCGTTCTTTTTTAGCTTGAGCTTCGATAATTAGACGTTGAAGTTCGAAGAATTTTTCCGGGTGAGATTTTGGTTCGAAATCTTCTCTCTTCATCCCTTTGTCTCTGATAATTTTCCTTGCTATTTCTGTCATCATATAAACATTTGTCTCTTTGACAATTTCCTTGGCTAAAGTCGTCTTCCCAACACTGTGAGCTCCGCATAGAAATATCCTGATATTATTGCAGATTTGTGAATCTTCCTCTTGTACAACAGGCGAGTTATTGTCCCTAGATTTTACCGGTAACATCTCCGAAAACTATGTCTTCTTGACGTATGCAGGTTTAAAGTGAAGATTTTTTCAGACAACAATTAAATAACTGTGTTGTCGTGAAAAGATTTAAGAATTTTTCCTTTGTTAAAACAGCTGTCGCTTTAATACAATGTATGACTGGAAGCGCTAATGCATATCAAAACAATGAATTTCTTACCAGCGACCGTGAGGTAATTCTTGGAAAATGAAAGATTGCGCGACGTTGAAATCACACACGTCATGCTCCCGACCTAGTTTAATTAGGTTTTTATTTTTTGATAAAATTCCTTAATTTAAATAATCGCTCAGGCCCCGTCCACACTATGCCGGATAAATTTGAATCCGAATTTTTATTTATTCGGTTAAGCCTACCGTCCACACTAGTCCGGGCGAATCCGGAACAATTCTTCACCGAAAACGAATTTTCGAAATGGAACCGAATAAATAAAAATTCGGATTCAAATTTATCCGGCATAGTGTGGACGGGGCCTTAGGCCTAGGGCAAACGTCGAAAATAATAGCCAATCAGAATCAAGAACATTTTCAAAACTGACTGTGTCATTTTTCGTCTTGAAATCGGCACGGATTTCCAGACCACCAAATGAAAATATATATAAAGTTGCTAATGCGCACTTTCGATAACAGTGACACAATAACTAATGCGTTTTATATTTTTATTGCAGAAAACGGCGGACATGTTTTTAAGTAGTTTCACTGGTCATTTTTCACAGGCTTCATGACAACCTTAGTTTTGCAGTGACGTCATTTCTTCGTCAAGATCTCAGATCAGATTTTTGATTTTGGGCGCCAAGTGTTTGAGCACAAAAAACATGTGAACATACCTGGTTTGGAAAGTGTTTGAAGCTGATTTCGGTGACCAAAAATACAATCTACAACATGACGCTATTGTACACAGGGGGGACCCAGTGGGTGTCCTGCGGTATGCCGGACAACCCGATAACGCTGTAATTACATACGATGCATAATACTGATCTCTATTTTTTTTAAATTCATTTGGGACACACCCCTAACAAATTCCGGGATCTGCCTTTGGCACAACTGGATAGAAATGATATGCTTTTGAGACTGATTCGGACTTTGAACATGCCGTAATAATAGGATAAGTATGGAAGAGGCCTTAGAGTGATTTTACGTAACTCGTCGTGAAACAAACATTATTTGTTAACAATGTGTAATTCGCAAATACACCGAAAAGCCTATGAGATCTACCATAAAACTCTATAAGTACATACTATCTATTTCAGGGATTATATATTTTAATAGATAATCCACTGTAGTTGGTCTATTCTATTTCACAGGTTAACCAAAATCGCCCTATTATATTGCCGGTTTGCTTGGCGTTGACACAGTATGTATTTCTGAAAGCCAACGCACAGAACTCACAGAACAAACTCAATTTCATGCCTAGGTTCCATTAATTCCTGAATTTCTGAATTTCTCCGAGATTTTCTTTCAAATCATTCTGTACTGTTTCTCGTATGAGAAAGTAAACATTTCAACAATCTTCTTTCCCAATGTTTCCTTTCCTCCATGTCTGCATAGTCCAGAAATGTTCTGTTCCTTAACGCTTTTGGTAACAGACTTTTCTCGATGCTATCAATCCTAATAACTATGAGAGACCCGTCATCCAGCTCAGCACTTTTATACAGTGCCAGATCTAGTTCCTGCTGGCAATGATTACTTTTCATGAAGTTTTTCGACACAATAGCAATGACTGTGCGACTTTGATAGATGCTGTCTGCAATGTTTTCTATCATGGCTTTACCGACTTCGAAATCTTTTCTGGTGACGCAATACTTGAAAGAGTATTTATCGAGAAGAGGGATGAGATATGTTGTGGTCCATTTACAGTCTTGGTTACTGAAGGATAAGAATGATTCATATTTGTACTCATGGGATGAGCCACAGTGCTCTAGAAAGAATGAAAGAGGTATTAGACGAAATACATCTTGTTACCGGCGTTTGCATTGCTACGCGGCCACCCCAGACAAAAATCGCGACGTGCACTTTGCAATAGACTGCCGTCAATCAAACAAGTTGACGTCATTTACACGCGTTTGGATCGGCCCGGATAGGCCCGGTGAGTGTGGCTCATAAAACTTGTAAACAATCGACCGAAGTTTTGGCGCCTTTTGAATCACACACGCGTGTAAATGGCGTCAACGTGTTTGATTGAACCCCACCCCCAAGAGCCCCCTCGCTAGACTTTTTCGTACAAATTTTAATGTAGTTAAGAAACAAATTTTAGGAAAGCAATAATTTTAAATTAGTCAGTTAACCTCATTTGATTTAAATTTCTCAAAAGAAAAGCAGGTCCAATGAATCTAAAAACTCACTATTTCTGGCAGCCAGTTTTTTAGGCTTCACTCTGTATAGATAACGAATGGTAATGACTGTCGCGAGAGCAAAGATTGAGCCCAGCGCTGCCACCAGGAATATGATATCAAGAGAGAATGTTGGAACACGAGCCTCGGAAGATGAAAGTTGTTTTTGAACTGAAAAACAGAGTACACCAAACAAATATAAATTGTTTGACCTTGAATGAATATAAAAGGAGTGAAGGATGGCCCTAGTGCTTTCCTGGGGGAGACCAACGACTTACAAAAAAAGTTACAGTCTCGATCCAGAACGATTTCAAGGAGGGTAGCTGTAACCTAGAAAGACATCACATCACACGTCCTTTTTAGATACTATCTTATTCTTTATTCTTATCATTTTCAACTTCGAAGAGTTTGGGGGGGGGGGGGGGGATAGGATAATAAGGATATTGTACAAATTAGTGGAATTTTTTTTTGGGTCTACGGTCTACTGGGGTCTACTGAACTTATTGTAAAATTTCTTACACAATTTTTCTTGGATATATGGTACGTTTGCATTCTAAACCGTAAACCTTCAAAACTTTGCACTAATTTGTACGTACAATTTTATAGTAGTTACTTTAAATTTTCACGGATACATTAGGCAGCTATTGGATCATTTCAGCCTTACCTGTATGGCTTTGGATCTGTACTTCAATCGAAGTCCAGTTGGTCCCGGTCGTTGTCTCGGCCCTACATACGTACGTTCCCACATCATCAAGTGTAAAGTTCTTAATAGTCAACGAAAACATTTTGGAGTTATTTTCAGGGGTCTCCATGGTGCTGTAGCCAGAAGTATAAGGATGAGATAATACAGAGCCGTTCTTGGTCCAAGAGGTCGTGTTGATCACATCGTATCTTGGGTACGTCACAGTGCAAAACAGTGTTAGACGTTTGCCCAATCGCGACGTGACGATGGGCTGTTCTGTCACGACTGATGGTAATCCTGTGATTGAAAAGATTAAACATTTTAGAATATTACGTTTAGCCTGGGTTATTTATGGTATTTTTATTGCAAAAAATAAAAAGTTTTTCTAAACTCTGAATGACTCACTCTCTTGCCTCTGAGGTGTCAGTCGCATTGTATTCTAGCTTGGGTACAAACATATTTTGTCCATCATGTCGTCAAGTCACTAACCACCAATCACGGAAGAAAATTAAAAAACACACCATTTCTTTACACGATTTATTTGCTGGCGACGATAGTCACATTTTGTTTGTTTTTTATTCAAAAAGATTCAATTTTAGCCGAATTTCGAGAAAAATCGCACGTTTCTGTCAGTTCACAACGCCGCTATTACGGGGCGATTTGCTGGTAGAGACTTTTATTGGAAGGCCAAAAGCAACTTCTACAACTGAACTCCACTACTAACTAACTGAATTATCTCAATGCATCCTTTTTATATGGATTTGTACAATAATCAAATTAAATGACAGGTTGTCATAATTATCCGATATTAACTAATAAATTTCAGGAGGCGTTACCTCTTAATTAGAATAGGAAAACTAAGAATATCTAAATGATGAATGAATGAATCAAAAATCAGTTTGCACACGAATAAACTACGATCTACAAGGAAGCGTTTGATCATAGAAAGGTCAATTGTTACAACGGTTTAAACGGTATTAGGGCACGGATTGAATACAGATTGACTTAATAAACTTCAGGGGGCAAAGAGTCAAATACGACATATGACAAGTCCAGACCAAGACAGGAAGGTTACATAAGACTAAGGTAGTTCAAGGCCAAGACTTGGTTGTACGTACCACTCGTGAAAAGCACATGACTTACGGGCTTGTGTATCGTCTTTAAGACATGCGTAATAATTAATTGAGCGATAATAAAAATAATTTAAAGAGGTATGATATTTGTTTGATTGTTGTCCCGTAACACCGCCATGTTCGTTGCTTCGACTACACTTTTCCCTCCAAAACCACCACAGGGAGACCAATACTAGTGTTGTAATCATAATAAGACGACCTTGTAATGTAGTATTTATCTTATTGGACCTACTGACTGTCTACCCAAAAGTGTTACCCAGTCCCAGCCCCTATACCTCCACTCGTTTCTCCAAGGATTGTTAAGGGTTCCTACCTTCGTTTGCTCATATCTTACTGGACTTGCCGACTGTCTACCCAAAAGTGTTACCCAGTCCCAGTCCCAGCCCCCATACCCCCACTCGTTTCTGCCAAGGATGGTTGAGGGTTCTTACCTTCTTCTGCCCGAATGAGTCGCGTGTTGCCTCTCTCCTTCATATTTAACACTTTAACATGACACCAGTACACCCCAACATCTTCGTCTGAAGCGTTATGGATCCTTAGCATCGATACCACGGTGTTGTTATCGAAGAAATGTTCCTTGTGACCAACCAACTGACGATTGTTGTGTGTCCAAGTAACTATAGTTCGCGTCTGAAAGATATCAGAGACCAAGCATCGTAGACTGACATTCTCCCGCCTTGATTTGAAAACCATGTAWTTTGCTATATGCACGAGTGGTACAGGGTCTAGAAAAGTGTTCACGTTTTGTAAGTCCATATATTCTATACTTTTGCTGTCCCCTGTTACTGTACTGGTTTTTACTATCTAAAAGCTGGTATGTTTTCATTAGCTATATCTAACCCTCAGGTCTGTGTGTTCTTCTCGTCCTGTCCTCTGCTGTTGCTTGCTATACAGTCCTATACTCATTATCTGGGTACTACGTGTATATCTGGGTTACTTNTTTGCTGTTGCTTGCTATACAGTCCTATACTCATTATCTGGGTACTACGTGTATATCTGGGTTACTTACTTCTGAACACCATGGCTGTACTCTTTTCATCCTGTCTTTTGCTGTTGCTTGCTATACAGTCCTATACTCATTATCTGGGTACTACGTGTATATCTGGGTTACTTACTTCTGAACACCATGGCTGTACTCTT